TACATAACGTTATGTTTTGATTTTATATTGGTTACTAATCGTTAAAACTAATAGAACTATTGACGTAATATTTTTATTTTTTTCAACGATGAAGTGACATTATCTTATGATGACACATGAGCATCGTCGTTAATCTTTTAATAGTGGGTGGCTAAAATAAAAACTAAAATTAAATGTTAAATGTGATTTTAAAAAGAAAATAACTGAGTGAGCAAAACAAAATAAAAATGATAGTTATGATACTAAACTTGTAATGTACCCTTGTTAGAAAGGATGCTAAACTCAAATATCCCAACATAAGCCCAAATCATTTAAACTAGATCAAAACCCAAATATCTCATGACCATACTCAACCCAACCAACTTAAATTTATACTATTAATTAATTTAATTAAACTAAAAAGTCAGTAAAATTGAACTAAAAATAATAGAAAAGGAAAAATACCCCCAAATACTTACACTTTGTTTAAAAAGTTATAAATAAAATAAATAAATTAAAGAACTTTTATGGGGAAAAAACGAATGGACCCAAACAAATATTTACCTTAATGTTTTTTTGATATTTTAATTGAGTATCTGAAAGAATTGTTACGATCCATTCTTTCATACTTCTATAAGTGAAGATATACAAGACAGCCCATCATTCAATATTTGGACTTAATTGTATTAAAATAATGATCTTAATTTATATAAATGAAAAAAGTGGCATGAAAATAGAATAATGTATGTTACTTTTTTTATCATAGATATCATAGTAACTAATTTTAAATTAATGATAGATTAATTATAAATTAATACAGTCTTAATGATATATTTTCTTCGAACTTTAATGTATGTTATTTTTTTATCGAGTCAATTTAACAAAATAAAAATAAAAATTTAACATTTGATAATCTAAAGTTATAATTAAAAATAAAATAGTCAACAATCTATAGAACAAGTGGTTAAAAGCTCTTAGTTGATACATCTTATTTCTCTTAGTTATAGGTTGTGATCAAACATCTATTAGGACCAAAATTTTTATTCTCTCTCCCCCGTAGAAATTATCCCAAAGAAATTAAAATTAAAGTAAAGCAGGTACAGCTAATATTTTCATTTGCGTACAACAAAGCTGACTCTTTGTTCTGGGATTGTCAGGAAAGGTGGACTAATATACAATTAATATACGATGTTATCGGATACATTATAATATATTTAATAAATTTGGTTTAGCGCTACCTGAAATATCAAGTAATAACAATGTTGTAGGTGGAAATCATGAAGAAAATATTAAAAATTTTGGCAACCAGCAAACTTAGCTTATCGGTTTGTGTCGATACAAATTAAAAATGTATCGATCCATAGCAATATAACAGGTAAAAATATGATAAAACCGGTAAAGCGCTACCAGATATATTGAAAGTGTCGATAAATTAATATAAGTGTCGACACTTTTGTAATTTAAAAGAGAAGAAGTTATAGCGTCTAAAAGGTGTCGATACTTTATAAAAATGTGTCGATCTATAGCAATATAACAGATAATAATATGACAAAACAGATCTCGAAATGATAAAACCGGTAAAAAGCTATCAGATATATTGAAAGTGTCGATAAATTAATATAAGTATCGACACTTTTGTAATTTAAAAGAGAAGAAGTTATAGCGCCTGAAAAGTGTCGATACTTTATACAAATGTATCGATCCATAGTAATATATCCGGTAATAATATGACAAAAGAGGTCTCGAAATGATAAAACCGGTAAAAAGATACCGGATATATTGAAAGTGTCGATAAATTAATATAAGTATCGACACTTTCGTAATTTAAAAGAGAATAAATTATAGCGCCTAAAAAGTGTCGATACTTTAAGAAAATGTATCGATCCATAACAATATAATAGGTAAAAATATGATAAAACCGGTATCGAAACGACAAAACCGGTAAAGCGCTACCAGTTATGTTGAAAGTGTCGGTACTTTAATAAGTACGCGTAAACAAGTATCGACACTTTAAGAGAAATAGGTAAATATCCTCTCGAAAGTATCGACACTTCACATAAAAGTATCGACACTTATGTAATTGTATCGATTAAATATAAATAACATATCCGGTGTAAATATAAAGGCATAGCTAAATTTCCTCTGAAAATATATAGAGTTTTTGAAATTGAAGTGTGATTGTTGTTGTATTTCAGAAGGCATTTCTATGTTGAAGTTTGTTTTGTTTGTTGCTGCATTTCAAATCGAAAGGTACGTTGTTGAAACCTTAGTTTTTTATTATTACAGTAAATAAGTATTTGGGACCGATTACATGTAGAAAGTGATCTTCTAGGTAGATGATAAATATCGATACTTTTATTTAATATTATAGGTAGAAAATGATATTATATGTTGTATAAATGTGCCGATACTTTGAGTATTGAGTGTTCACATTCGTTTGAAGGAAATAGGGAGGTTTTGGGACCGATTATTATATAATATTATAGGTAGAAAATAAATATGGATACCTGTATATAATATTATAGGTAGAAAATGATATTTGAGGTTTGTATAAATGTGCCGACACTTGTTGTAGTGTCCATTCAAATTTTATTGAAGACCAACCGTTTTACCACAATAGTGGTTATCGATTTTTGTATACAAGTATTTGATTTGATTTGCGTAAACTGATATATGAAGGAAAAATAAAGTCAATGGGTGGAAAGCAACCAAAGTGTGGATATATGTACTTGTAGTAAGTATCAATTTCTTTTTGTTATTATTGTTGAAATGGTAATTGTATTAAAGTATTTAGGAACTTTAAATTGATTACAAATTTTAAATGTTGACAGTATGGACGAATGCAAAAGGATGAAGGAAGATGACACACACAGCGGTTCGGTATGTAAAATGAAATTGACATTGAGTATTATTTAGCGTTAATGTATTGATTAAGAAACGTTTATGCTTAATATTAGGTGAAAAAAGATGTGAGGTCGAAATGAAATTCGATGAGTGATGCTCAAAAGGAACCTTACATCAAACTGTCAAGGAATGATAGTAAAGAATACAAAGAACAGAGGAAAGCACATGAAAAGAAGGTATTCATTAAACTTGTAAATACGTTGATACAAGATATATAAGAACAATAACATTATATATTGTTAAAAAATGTAGGATGTGTCGACAAGGTGCAGCATAAAAAGGGTGTATTCATTAATTGAACACCTTAAAAAGAATGATCAGTTGAATGTGCTGAGTGAAATGAGGTTTGGATCATTGATAGGAGTAAAGGATCGACCAATTCGGAGGGAATTGTATCGATCCTTGATGGAGCAATTTGATGTCAAACAATGTATTGCTAAATATGGCGATTATTCATTCCCTCTGGGGGTATCGACTGCTGCAGCAGTCTTGGGGGTACAAAACAAAGGCAAAAATGTCCATAATGTGTTTTCCAAACAAAACAAGTTCACAAATAAGTGTCGACACATTTATATCAAGTGTCGATCACAAAAACATCGAAACCCGTAATTATAATGTAATAGGTCACTTTACAATGTAACCAATTTAAATTTACCGGTTTTATGAGAAAATAGGTCTACAGAATGTATCGACACTTTTTAAATTAGTGTCGATACTTTTGAAAATTACGCGTGTTTTTTTCTTATATATACAAAACCCAAAACGAAAAACCCTAAAGGCAGAGAACTCTTCCACTCCGACGGTGATGACCTTCAAATGGAGCCCCAGCGTATCAACATTGAAGAAAATCGAAAGCGACCAGTAAGTATCAATGTATTCATGTAATTGTTCTTGAAATGGTAATTGGATTCAAGTGTTTAAGATCTTTTAATTCATTACAAATTTCAAATCTCTACAGTCTGACTGAATGCAAAATGATAAAGGAAGCTCATAATCATGTTGACTGTATAGCCAATAAAACACCCTTTCAGGGTCCAAATGGTAAGCTATGAATTGGTAAGACAAGCTTTCTTTTGAGGGTTTAGGGACTGAATCCATACAACATAAGGAGTATATGATTGAACATTACATATAATAGTTGTATTCAGTTGTTGAAGAATTGTTTTTAATTTTATACGAATATAGTTGTAATGTTCAAACATGATTGAATGATGTGGTTAATTTGCAATAACAATAGGTTGTTGTACATGTTTCCTATACACAGTAGGAGTCATGTTGATACTTAGGATATATGGAGATCGTTGTCTGCATTATTCCAAATGTCTCTAACATTATGTGCGGGACTGAATGACCAGTCTATTTCGTCTTCAAAAACATCAGTTGAAGTAGGTTGCGTGCTTGTATTCAAACCCAACTTGACTTGAGGACATGTTAGTTTGTTATGTCCCTCACCGTTGCAGAACCCGCATCGCCTAATTTTCTTCTCGACCTTGTTCTTTGTTACTTATTTTCGCTTGCGTTGTTTTCGTTGAGGGTCGCGAACGTTGTTTAATACACTGCTCCGATTGACTGAATCATTCAAACCAAATGAGTTCTCAAATTCTTCTGTTAATCTTTTCATCTCATCTCTTGCGGTTTTGAAAGACGCGTCTGTCTTTGATGCAACATAGCATAACATACTTGTTGTTGCACGTAGAGAAGCAAACCTTGCCATTTGCATTATTTCTGGAGGCACATTAAAATCAACAAAACTGGGTGCAGAAGCCTTCGCATCCTTAGTCTACCTAATTTGAATCAAAGACCCTGGCAAATATGTGTAATCCAAGTTCTTCAAAACGTGAAGTTGATGGCGACATGGAAGTCCAACTGTCTCAAATTTTTTGCATGAGCAATTTAGGGTTTTCGTACGAGAATCAAAACTAATTTCAAATGTCCTATTTTTTTCTTTGTACTTTTTCAAATAAAAATATTGACATTCATCTGATAATGACTCAATCTCTTCATGAATCCGGTACAATGTCTCCCGTTGAAGTTCTTCTTGGAACACACGAAAAGATTCGCGCGTATAAATCTCAGAAGCATGACTTTCAAATTCAACCAGTTTTGTGATCAGGAAGGGCTTCGTCTGGGAACTTAAGTAATCCGCTTTCAACTCGTTCAGACGCATTCTACTAATTCCATCTTCAATTGCATGAACAACATCTAAATATGTCTTCTTGTGTTTCAATGCAATTGCGAGTGAAGCATTCATAGACTCGCACCTTTGTGTTGAGCGAATATTAGCAAAGAAATGATCGGTTAGATATGCTTGTGCCCATAAGTGCCGAGTATTTCCCTTCTCAATCACCCATGGATGCTTTTCAACGTTGAACTCTGAAATAACTGAACGCCATTGAATATCAAATTCGTCGGTTGTCCACCAAGAAACCATGCATTTTGAGAATGATGCTGTAAATTTTGGGTCACCAATGTTAGCTTGTGCATTGCGAGAAATATGCCAAGAACATAATATGTGCTTAGCATTAGGGATAACAGATTTGATAGCCCTCTGCATTGCCCTATCCCCATCGGTGACAACTGAAATAGGCGATTTGTTCATCATGGCTTCTAAAAAATTCTGTAGCACCCACTCGAAAGATTGGGATGTCTCGTCAGCGATTATGGAAGTAGCAAACACAATTGTGTTATGGTGATAATTGACACCGACAATAGGCATAATTGGTCGACCATACAAATTATCTTTGTACGTTGTGTCGAACGCAATTACATCACCGAAGCATATGTAATCTGATCTCGATGTAGAATCCGACCAAATAAGATTATGCAACGCCACTGATTCGTCTACCGAGTATGTCACAAAAAACCCGGGATCATCATGTTTCTTATAATCAAAGTAAGCAATAAGCGCATTCACATCCCCATTGACGATTTCCTTTGCTTTGCTTCTTTAAAGTGCATTGTAGAGGTCTTTATGTGTAAATCCAACATTATGATAGCTCCATGCATGCTGCGTTAAATAGTTCATTACTTGTGACATGCCAACACCGACCTCTTTCAATGTTTTTGCCTCATCGATATCAGCCTTACTTACAGCTCTATCAGAACGCATAAATGGTGTCATAGCAGGTGTGCACAATGCATGATTATGTTTCTGATAAGACTTACTTATAACCCACTGATCGTTTGTATTTGTTGCTGTAACTACGATTCTAGCCTTGCATCCTGTTCTTGTGATTGGCGTATGAGCACGTTGATGATCAACGATATTGACTTTTGATACTCGAAACCCTTCTTTGGAACAACAAAATTCTTATGTCTTCACATTCCCTTCCATGTCAAGCCGTGTTGTTCCCCGACGTGCACTAAACCCATGTTCCCGTGCGAATTCCTTGTAAAAGTACCAAGCTTGATCACATGAAGAGAAGAGCTTACCAACCAATATGTCAGATTCATCAACATTATGTACTTTATTGCATTCCTCGGTTGGCTTAACATTGTCTGCATCAGTATGATCCATGGCAAAAATTTTGTTGTGCAATTTCAATGGTCCCAACAGGAGTTGATGGAGATGTATGTAAGTAAAGGTTCATTGAACAACATGTTTCAGTGGTGCTTTCAATAGGATATGGTATTGGTAGTGGTGGTAGTTGAAGGGTGGGTACAACATTAAATTTGCAGGACATATTCATGTATATACAATAACTACATAATTCAATAACTTTAAAGTAATAGGTAAAATTACAATGTATGTGGTAAAATTAGACTATTTTAATGACAAATGATATAATGTAATAGTTAAATTGACAATGTAACCAGTACACATATACCGTTTAATTATAAAGCAGGTTAACATAAAGTATCGACACTATTAGATTTTGTGTCGATAAATATAATGTAATAGGTAAATTTTCAATGTAACCGGTAGAAATATATCGGGATCATGAGAGAATAGGTCAACATAAAGTATCGACACTTTGTTTAATTTGTGTCGATACATTTTTTCAAAATGAATGGCAAATGAGGTCTACGCATAAAGTGTCGATACATTTTTTAAAAAGTATCGATCCTCGAAACATCGAAATCGATAATTATTATTTAACAGGTAAATTTACAATGTAACCGCTTAAAATATACCGGTTAATTAGTAAATATGTCTACATTATGTATCGACACTCTTTAAATATGTGTCGATACTTTTTTCCAAAATAAAACACAAACGAGTTGCACGCATAAAGTGTCGATACATTTAAAATTGTATCGATCCTGAAAACATCGAAACCGATATTTATAATGTAATAGGTCAATTTATAATGTAACCGGTTTAAATTTACCGTTTTTATGAGAAAATAGGTCAATATAAGCGCTACCTATTACATTATATAAGCGCTACCTAATTTGTTATTGTACTTGATAATATTTCCGGTTAAATGCCTATTTTATTATATAAGCGCTACCTATTACATTATCTAAGCGCTACCTAATATGTTATTGTGCTTGATAATATTTCTGGTTAAATGATATAACATAACCGGTCTAAATTTTAACTGGTCACTTGTTTAACCGATCACGTCGTTTTTTAACCGTTTTTTTAGGCGCCGCACAACAGAAGTTCCCCTTTGTTCTTCTTCTTCCTTACTCTTCTTCTTTTCCCATGTGTAGTAATAGCCTATATAAAGAGGCAATGCTTAGATTTTGGTGATGCCTCCCACCTACACCCATTCACTTAACTTACAAAGCAAATACGTGTTTCAATGGATCTTATTTTATAAAAAGGATTATACAAATGCACTTTATTTGTTGTTAAGTGGGCTTATCATGCTTTAACTCATACATAACCCTTAAAAATACTTTCATATTAAATACAATTTTATACAAAAATAAATTACATTTAATAAGTTTTGGCACAACACAAACATACACTTCATAAACACAAAGATGATTTAATAAATTCAATATTTTTAAATACATTAACATGATTAATACAAAATGGTTATACAAATATGATATTTATATTTAAAATTTTAAAACGTTTTATCATTTATTGTATGTCCATATTTTACACAACCAACTTAGAAAATAAAGCACATTTGATCATTTATATAATTTGTTTTTTATTAAATAAAATGGCAAAATTTTCATCAAAGGGTCACCATGAAGTTGACCCTTCGCGTGTTGTGCCCAAGCATCACTATATATATTTTCAGAGCGTGCGAAACAAAATGATGAACATTGCCCACTAAATTGATTAGTTTCTTGTCACCCACCACAACCTTCCACTAGTTCAATAAAAACTTCTTATATTATATAAATATGGACTATAAAATTTTTCAAAAAATATATATTTTTATTATTTTTATAAAAATAAGAAAAATACACCTTATCATATATATATCTAACTATTCTTTAATCTATACTTAATTAGTAGTGTGTAATTATTTATTTTGTTTATAAACATATAATTCTGAAGAGAAAAAAAATCAAACTGTAAATTGTTAAATGTCAATATCTGAAAATGACAAACTAAAAAACCCCTTTTAGTACACGATCACTTTGATTGAATCACTATGGGCCTTTCTAAAAATAGAGATTTCTTTATAGGCAATGGTTTGAACATTTTGGCTTTTGTTTCCCTCATTTTCATAATAGAATCTCCGGCATTCATCTTCGTCAATTAAGTTCCCACATTGCTTTTGCTAACTATATACACATATTGGCTTTACAAATAAAATGAAAATGAAGCTAAAGGGCTTTCCCTTTTTTATTCTATCTTATGTACAAACAAGTTTTATAAATAAAGATGCAAAACCTCTGAGGCAAGTAAATGTAATCAGACATGAAAGTGACTAAATTTATAAAATTTTAGGAAATTTAAAAAGATTGTCGATAGAAAATATGAAGAAAAAAAATTAAAACATGAGAGAATTTAAAAGTGTTTGTAGCAGTGTTTTAAAAATCGGACCGGATCGGCCGGTTCAATCAGGAACCGTTGCCTAGTCTGGTTCAATCTAGACCGGTTGAACCGCTACTAGTGAACCGGTCGGAACCACTGAACCGTTCAAACCAGACCGGCTGAAAACAAAAAAAAACAGAAAAACCACCAATTTTGTTTTTTTTTTTTAAAAATTAAATCAAACGACGTCGTTTGTTAAACGAGCCAAGTCGAACTCGAGTATTGTTGAGCTCGACTCGAACTTGAAAAATTTAAAAGTAAGCTCAACTCGACTCAAACTCACGAGCTAAAAATTATTAAGTTCAACTCAAACTCGAAATATAATATTAAAACTTGAACTCAAAAAAAATTTAGAAGCTCGATTGAAGCCTAAAATTTGAGCTTGATTGAAGTGAAAGAGTAGTTCATTCAATGCTCACCAAAATGCTCCATGATTTTGAATGTCAAATTACCTCTATTATTTATAGAAGTTTGTTGGGTTGATCTTCTATGTTTCTTAGCCATGTGGGATTGTTTAAAAAAAATTAAACCAAACAATATCATTTTGTTATGATTTTTTTAGCCCCAAATTTATTTTTTAATTATAGTTATATAATTATATTTATTATTTAATATGTTTTACCTTAAATATTATGTTGCAGTTAATTTGAATAATTTTGTTTCACTTGATTTTATGGTTTTTAACTTATATATATGTTATGAATTGCTTTGAATATTAATTGTGATATAAAAAAAATATTTTTTATTAAATATTTTTAGTATTTTTATTTAATTTTTAAATAATTATGACGTCGTCCGATTGAACCAGTAAAACGGTAACATGGCCGGTTCGCTAACCGGTCCGGTTATGAAAACCATGGTTTGGAGTGATCATTCCATTCGTTTCTCCCTTGGTCCATCCCTGCGGAGAACAAATCTGAAATTAAAGGCCGGGCTAAGACAGCCATTGACATCCACAAGAAGAAATAATTTATGCCACCAACTATTATTCTTCCTTGAAACTCTCTAGTTTTTAGGGTCTTTTCTTATGGTTCCACCTAAGATTTGATGTTCCGCTTTCTCTATTATAATATTAAACCATAATTGTTGTTTTTGCCACCCCCTCATCCACCACTTGTGTTTCGACGCGCTTTGTTTCAGATCAATGAAGTATGAAGCGTCCATAACAAGTGA